TGTATTTTCGAGGTGAGGGGGTGCGGACACTTTTTGGCATCATAAAATAGGATAAAAGTCATAATTGCTCATAAAATAATATCAACAAAGTTTAAATTTGAATCCCTATTTTCTAAATACTAATTTATCACTCATAATCTTCAAGATCAATGTCACTTAAATCTTTTTCATCCACCAATTTCAAAAGAGTGTCGTCATCCTCATGTTCATCAATCTCTTCAACATCATCAACTCCAACTTTGGACTTTCTCTATTTTCTCTTATCAATATCAAACTTGGCGTCACTTGTACAAAATTTGCTTTTTACTACGAAATTTTTTGCTACGGTCAAATGCCGTAACAAAATGGGCTTTTTACTACGGAGCAATTTTGAAGTCGTAGTAACTATTAAAATTTACCGTAGCAAATAAGTATTTGGTACGGCCATTTACCGTAGCAAAGTTTTTGTTACGCCCGTATATACTACGGAATAAATTCGTAGCAAATGCGTAGCAAAAATCCAAGTCATAATTTCTATTTTTAATAAATTAATTATAGTTATTGTGACAAAAATACCCTTAATAATATATGGAATAAATAAATTCCCAAAATAATTGTTTACATTGCACGAACCATAAATTCCTCAATTCTCTCCACAAATCAATAAAATTAATTATGTACGTGAATTCCTCAATTCTCTCCTCAAAATATTTGTCCTCCTTCTCCCATAAATCTCTGCAAATGACTAACCATGTTTACGAATTGCAGTTTGTCTTCCTTAGCAAGATGTTTCATATTGTTTGCTGTTAATTTAGTTTTTGTTTGCAGTTTGGTGTTAATCATATATATTTAGGTCTTGTTGTTGGATTTTTACATTAATCTCGTACCCGCATCATGAGAGAACATCATTGGTCAGAAAAATGGTGCGAAATCGTAAATGCCTTTGTAAGTAAAATTATCGCATCCATTTCATATGTTTTTAGAAACTTTGATAACAATTTAATCGTCAATTTTAATGAGTTTCTTTGTTCCAGCGGAATCGATAGCAGGTACTATTTTCCTTCATTACTAAAGCATCGATGGGTCTTCCTCTGTTTGTTTGTTTTTCTTATTTTTTTTAATCATGCTTGTGGTCGGCATTTTATGTTTCTTGAGTTAAAATATCATGTTAGTGTTAATTTTCTCTGCAAATTGTTATAGTTCGTATTGTTTAACAAGTACTGCTAGTTGTTTTGAAATTTGATATACATTGGAATTGCAGTTTGTAGTTTCTAGTTTTTACTTTTCAAATTCTAGTTTTTAAATTTCTCAATTATTAGAGTGCAAAGTACAAAATGAGATTCCTCATATATTAGTCAATGTGGCAGTTTTCATTGTTAATTTTTTGCAATTTTTGTTTTTGGAGATGCAACTTTAATTTTACAATCTTAGTTTGCATTTGCATATAATGTTTACTATTTTCAAGTACCATTTTTGTTTGGCTAAATCATGTGTCGTTTACTTACATATGATGCTTTTATTTGCAGTTAGCAATTTGGAGGTCTTGTATGCACTTGTGTAAGTTGTTTGCTATTTGATATTTTCAATAACATTGTTCGAACATTCTTTAGTGTGAATTATTTTTCCTTTCTTGATCTTCCAATAGCCAAGCCAAAAAAAGAGAAAAAATCACTAAATGACTGTTCAACGTCATCGAAAAGGAAGAAAACGAATCAACTCAGTCTGCATTCGAGGCATCAGAACCACCAACAGTTATAGAAAGACAAATCAATTCCACTATATCGTTCTAATCTTGTTTTGTTATTCAACGTATTGCAGTTTGCAGTTCAACGTAACTTATTTATGTTGATAAAAGGAATTCATGTTGTACATTCACGTTGCAAATTCCAAGTTCAAAATTGCAAATAAAAATGTTTGTTTTCCAATTGCCTTTTGATATATTATTTTCCCAGACTAATACAAATTACAAATTTATTGTTGATATTTGAATGTTTGAAATTATTGTGGTGCAGTTTGATATTTGCTAAAATAACATAACATTAATAAATAAATGATGATGCTAAAGAGTAGCTCACCTAGGGTGGTGTAGAAAATGAGCTGGGAGAGCAAAACGGATCGGTAGCTTGATAACTTGATGATCCTGAGGTCCCTGCGAAAAGAGCACACGTGAACTAAGCCGGGGGTTGATCCGGCGGAAACCCCTCCGACGCTCAAGTCAGATGTACGGATCGTAGAGATAGCTGAGAGAATAATATTCGAGATTGATTGTGAATAATGAGAACGTACCTTTACAAATGAGTAAAACACCTATTTATATATCGGTGATTGGGTTGGACTTACTTTGTTGGGCCCAAGCCTTACTTTGAAGCTAATTGGGCTTTCGTGTAGTGGGCCTAATTAATAGATAATTTAGGTATATCATTAAGCCCCCCAACTCTCGATTCGAGACGGGGACTTGTGTAGAGGGATCCGGGTCGTGTCGAGAGTTAATTGCGTCGTGGATTGAATTGTTTCCGTTGGCGGTGAATTAATTCCCTAATTTAAATAAGGGATAATTATATTTATTTGGCAGGGAGGTATATATTTAAGGGTTTTAAATAATATACCAGGGCCAGATAAATAGACTCCTTCTGCGGTGGAAAGAATTAATCTTCAACTCTCGCGTAATAAATATGGGTATGTACTTTTAATTCTAGGTTTTCTTCTGTGCTATTCTTCTCTTGAGAGTTATTTTTTGTGGTAGAGTAGAATTTTTTTTTTTTTTTGCTTTTCGTCCGGATAAAAATATATCATGTCGAACCCGAGTAAGTCAAAGTCTTTGCTTATTAAACTTCGAGATCCGGTCGAGGGGGGCGAGAAAACGTTTGGTACGGTGGGTATGGAACGCGAGAAGCTAGTGCTCTCAGATGTGGAGGGTTGTACACATGTCGGATCTAGCAAGGGAGATGGTGATTTTCGTAGCGGCTCGGCTACGGGTGTCGGCTTGAATGAAGCCGGCCGATGTGAAGGTGGGAGTGGGCGCGTGCACCCCGAGGTGGTTGTTGAGCCGAGCTTTGGAGCGGAGCTGGCGGCTGGCACGAACGACGAGGGGAGGGGAGAGAGAAGAGGGCGCGTGCGCGCGTCTGGCCCAGTATCCGATAGACGCGCGCGCGCGTCGCATGTGGGGGAGCCGGCTGTCTGGGTTGCTGACGTAGGTCATGGGGGCGCGCGTCTGGAGAGACGCGCGCGCGTGCTCGGTGAGGGGGGTCTTTGTGACGCGCGCGCGCCATTGGCAGGAGGCGTTTGCGCGCGTGCGCGCGCGTCATTGGGGAGGGGTGGCGTAGCGCGTGAACGCGCCTCGATGGAAGGGGAGCGCGCGCGTGGCCGCGCGTCGTCTGAGGTGCCGGGCGCGGGTGGGAGAGCGTTCGGGCCTATTTTTGGGCTCGAATCTCATGATAGTGTCGGGCGAAGTGAAGAGCGCATCGATGTCGAAGATGGAGTGAGTAGGGGGAGTTTTGGGCGACGAGAAATCATTGAATCTTGGAGTGACGACGTAGAAACGGGTGGTGACGTTAATATTTTTCCCACTGATGATGTAGTGGGTTCCAGTGGACGTCGTAATAGGCATCAAGTCGTGGATTTTGGGAGTGGTAGCGATGAGTCTTCTCAAGCACTATTGGCGAGTGATCATGTTGTGTCAAGTAGTGAAGTTGAGCCGACGGATGAAGAGGGGGAGGAAGATGATATTCCGCCGGGTGATGTTGAGGTTCATAA